AATATATATCAATCGCTTCATTTGTGTGCTGCACTCAAAAAATTACACTTCCACAGGCAAAATCCATCTTCTTTCCTGCAAAATATTATTGCCAGAAAACCAAACAAGGGAAAAAAAAGAAACTCATTGTCATACAAAGTTGCAAGATTGAGATGAAGCAAAAAGATATTGTGAAAACACTTTCGGTGTTTCTCTCAGACCTTTTTTGCATTCGCCATTCCCAAAGAACTGGCTGAAAGAGTTGAACCAGAAAACACCGGCACATAACTTACAATTAAGGCTACAAGAACTAATTAAGGAATTGAAGTGAATTTTAATGATTTGTAATGGGACCATCAATAAAATTCGTCGTGGACAGTGTGAAGAGGTCAGAACTTGAGACGAAAGTTCATTGTCCCATATTTCCTCTGTGCGATTTATCACTGTCTATCTGTGCTGTCGTCTGCAATGTTCAAAAGGATTTTGTGTCAGGACAGAAGTCCTAGGAGATTTGTGAGCACATCTCCTGTACTAGAGTTCTTTCAGAGCATTTTGTGCAACAGCAAGTGTGTCTTTTCCCAGTTGAAATTTGAAAAATATTGACAGGAAATTGACCGAAAAAACACGCCATATTCTTCGTTCGGTTTCTCTAATTCGTCAAAACTGATTTCTCAGGTTTCAAATCCCTTCCTGGACCCATAAAAATGAATAATTGTGAAGAATTATGAGGAGAGTTCATCAGACAGATTCCTCTGCCTTACCAAATGACCATAATTACCAGTTCAAAATGGTAAAGGGGCGTTTATTTCGACCGAAGTCCGCAGAGACAGACTTCTCTCCCCAAGTTTTTTTGGGAAATGTTGTTTCTCTGCTGGAATGTTCGTCCTCTGTTCTTGGTTGATAAAATTGCCAATACCGTGGCCAAATTATCGAATATTTGTGCCTGTGAAGGAATGCCGGAACGTGAAAAAAGGTGCATCGTGTGCAAGAGACAAAATTGCGTCTTGAGCAATTAAATTTTTTGATATGGGAATTCAATTGAATGTGCGAGAGGGAGAAGAAGTACAATAATGATGACGTGCTGAGAAGATTCCCTTTGATCTCAGACCGCCTTGTTACCATTCTTTGAGAGCTTCCTCTCTATATGATTACCATTTGACTGACGCGCGTGAGGCTCTTTTTTTTCAAGAGTTATTTGTTTTTCCCCAGTTTGCCAAAGTGACTGAAAAAGGCAAAGGAGATTCCTCAATTTCATAACTATTAACTCGACAATTTTTCATTTGTTCCACGTTTTGTGGGAAGTTATAATTTAAATTGGGATAAATTACTCGTTGGTCTTCTACATCACATTCGAAATTCAACGCGATGATGAAACACAGGTTGGAGAATACAAAAAGGCATGTAACACATTCACAATGAACACTTCATACGCTCTCTAAGCTGAACATGGGAAAACAATGAACACTTGGTGGAGAAACGGAGTTGATTATTGAGAAAATATTTTCAGTTCCTCGAATGTGGGGTGGAAAAGCTATTATAGAGTTTGCTCTTGAAGCTCCAATTCTGCGGTTGGGAATTTTCAACTTCAAAAGGCTCTAAAGTTGCCAGATTGTAGGAGTCTTACTGTTTGCTGACGACGTGTGGGTGAGAAAATTGTTCAGAGGAAAAGTTGTTTATTGAAACTTTGCATGGCACAAGGACATTGACGAGCATCCGTTCAAGTCAAGTAAATAATTCTAAAAAAATATAATACAATATGATAAAAAAAATCTAGATTTTCTCTCTCTAACCACAATCCTTGACCAGACCAAAATTGAGTCGATCTTTTGCAACCACAAGTTGATTATTTTGCTATAAGAAACTCCCCTATATTCTCACAGTCTTTGCTTTGTAGAATTTATGAGACACCTTGATTGATCCGCTGTGTACTCAATTCATTCGTCTCTCTAATCTTTGACCTGCAGGAGCAATTCATTTTCATTTTTCACACACGGTATCTTGTGCAATTGGATCACGATGAAATTTCACCCCATATGCGAAAGCACCAATGAATTTTTCACACAAACTGCCCCAAAGTGCAGTGATTTGTGGCAAATTTTATTTCCCTGCGGTGCACTGAGGAAAAATGTTTAATGTTATATCCACTTGATGGGATTTTTTCTGCCCTAATGCAGAAACATATGAGAACTTTCACACACACACGCGGAATAACCATGCTTTTCCACCCAATTCGGTGCGCCGCAGTTCTCTGGAAAATTGAAAAACTGTGACAGAGAGACAAAGAGAAGGTAAATTGGAAACAACATTTGCGCTTATGACCAATTATCGCCCAGAACCATTGATGGAGAGTTGAGTGGCAAATATTTGCAGTGATCAGCATTGTGTGCAATTTTTGGTCTGTGCCAGCAAATCGATTTCCAACTCCTTTGCACGCCCCACCGGTGATTTATATCGCCGTGAAAATCAGCTCCACGTTGGACGATTGTTCTGCGCGAAAGGTCAGTGGGGAACGCAACAAATTGCCACTCTCAAATACATTTCTGTCCTCAAGTGATTCTTTGCCCAGTTTTCTCGTCGCCACATTGCGAGTGGCGAGGAAAGCTTTTAATTTTATGACCCTTTCGAGAGTCAAAAGTTTAGATTTAGTGCGCCATTTTCCCACGACACTTTGCAGAGTGCTTTCACCAACTTTTCCCGCCACTACTGCCAATATTTGCGGCCACGATTATTTAATTATATTGCCACTCCCGATACTGTCCGATACTGAAATCAATCAAATTTCTACTGCGATGAGAGACCACAGAATTTGTTAGATTTTCATATTTTTCTTAATTTATGGAGATTCCCGCGATGTTTAAATGAAATAAGAATGTCCCGAACTGCAGTTCGGATATAGAATTAGAATTCCTCAACCAGAGCTTTCCCACATAAATTCAATCAATTAGTCAATGTAATTAATTGAGTATATTTCACCAATTCCACCAGAAGATTAATTTCTTACAGTGAATTCCCATGAGATGAGGCAAAAATGCGAATAAAGTAGAGAATTGATTGTGTGTGTTTGTCAGATGAGGCGAAATTATTGATTTTGTCGATGCTTGGAGAGTTTGGAAGTCATTAAAATCATCACTGGAGAAGAAGATCAACAATGATGACATGAATTTGGTGATATGTGTCGATATGTTAAGTCGATAAATGGCATTTTTATTGGCTATCTTCACCAAATTGGCCTAAAGGTGAACCATGTAAGCCAATTTCAGTGTCCACTCAACTGACACGAGAAGAAATATACATTCAATCAAGTTATTAATTAAATTTGCCATCTTTTACCTGATTGGAGTTGATGTCAGACGAACAAAACTACCACTGAGGAATGTGAAGTTGCATGGCTGAGCGTGAATTTTTATCCTTTCTCACCGTTTTTATTGTTCACCAACACTCTCAATGCACTATAAAAGGTGCGACTACACGAAGGAAAAGAAACTTATTCACAAACACACCACCACTCGCGATCGCCAAGAGGAAGCCTGTAAATTTAACACAAGGACCCCACAAAGGAGGTAAAAAGAATTTCACGACCCCAGAAAAATTGTGGTTGAACAGAGAGAAAAGAGTCTGTACATAAATTCCAAATGGTGCACAGAAGAGAGATCACGGAGGAACTTCTTGTGACCAGCTGAACCGGTTGCGAACTACAAACTGATCTGCTGGAGATTTTAAAGCATTTCGCTGCTCGGCGGCCGAAAGAGTCGACTTGAGAAGCCAAGAAGAATGCCACCAATACACTCGCAGAGTCTCTATTATGAAAGTGAACAGAGTTTCTTACCCGAGAAAGACCTCCAGGTTTATCCACCAGAAAACTTATGAGGCTGCAAAAGTAAAGAGCCGCTCCATTCGCATAGGCGACAGAATTGAATTGAAGAAATGCTTAAAGGATAATATGAGCCACAATCTTGATTCAAAAATTAAAATAAAATGCTAGTGTTAAACTTCCTTCTATGCTTACTTTTCAGACAAGTTGAAAACCTATTCAGGATATAAGAAAAAAAAATTCGTCGGCATATAATTATCTTTCTTATTTCTTATATTCTTTCTTACAAAATAATTCTTCCATTTGAATTTAACTGTGCCGATGTGATTGCGCCTTAATCACAGCCGCCTAAACTCACAAATCTCCGAGCGTTTAACATGAAACATATGGTGGATTTTTTCGCATGACCGAAGAAAAGACATGGCAAAGTGGCTGTGCGCTTGGCTAAAGGTAATTCCTCAATATTTTGACTCTGCGAGCCAGAAAGTTCAGCTATGGAGGCATTTCGTGAAGAGCTCGACCTCAAAAATCTGCCTCGGAATGTTTTGAAGAGGGAAAGGATCACACAAGTTGATTAAGCACCAATTTAAGTTATGTCTATCCTCTGACAAGATTATGCCGCAAGAATACTTTATTGTGTGTCATTTTCTGGGTCAATTTTAATGATGTCTTGGTGACATTTGTAAGAATTCACAACTATTCGCACTTTCCATGTCGCTTTTCCTCGCCTCTTCTCGTCAATGGACACTCATCGGAGCGAAGAAAATAATAATAATTGGAGTTGCGATTCTTCTCTAAAAAGTTTCCTTCACACTCCGTGACAATTTCCCGTGGCCGGTTAAGGCGGAGCATCTCTCAACAATAAATTCCCATTAAAAGTGCACGATGAGATGGTGGAAAAAAAATCACTTAGAGTATTTCACGCTTCCTGGAGTAATTTAATTAGGAAAAGAAGGATCGAATGAAGAAGTTCAGTGGTTCAATCTGGGAAATTACACTGGGGATTGTTTCAGAAAAATCTATGGAGTGTAACGCAAAGCCAGATGACCTACATTTGGTGCTAAAACGCCAAGGATTATGTCCTTGTGATTGGTACAAATGAGGACATTGAGATAATGCATGGAAAATCTTCAGTTGAAATACACGAAAAGAACTTCAAGGATGTTCTGTGAACTCTTCGGTCACTCCGAGAGTTTCCTTCTTTCCACCACTCAGGATTCTGGATAAAATTTATTTGATCTCAAGCATCAGGACACTCTCAGTGAACAACGTCGACGCGATTATCCGGGGGCGGAGCGCGACACCAGCGTGACGAAATCGCGCCCAAACTGATGAGGAGAAGCGTGAGTGAGGAGAGTCCCAGCACCACTCCGGTCGTGATGTCGTGAATTGGTGTGCCGGGAATGGGATGAAGGGTGAGCAGAACGAGAAGTCCACAGCAATTGAGGAGGGAGAACACCGTGACCAGGATATAGCCTGAGATGTAGTTCCTGTTGGGCAACCAGTCGCACTGTCTTGAGCGGAAGCCGAGGAATCCCAGCGCCACAGCAGCAAATCCCGATATGATGCCAGTGTCTAGATAGTGTGACCTCCCCACACGCGCCACCATGTAGATGCTGAGTCCGGAATTCATCATTCCGCAGAGGATCAGCATGAGAGAGACGGCGCCGATGGTCGCTGTGGCATTGGCGACCTTCTGGAAGCTGAGATTCGTCCAGGACTTGGTGCTGGACGGTGCATCATAGAAGGAGGGCGCCTGGAGTCGCGGCGAAATGACTGCAGTGGTGCGTATATCCGCTGCTTGGTGTCCCAGCTGCTGTTCTTCGTAGCGAAGACGACGCTGTGGCGTTATGTGCGGCTTCAGCGGGGTGCTGGTCTGCGGCTGGAGAGGAGCCGGAATGCGCTTCTGCGGTGTCTTCTGCGGAGGCGTGGACAGTAGCTCATGAAGCTTCTGTGTGGCAAGGTTCTTCTGCGGCGTAAGACTGGAGATAGGAACTGGCGGTGCTGGACGCTGAGGAGTGGCAACTGTGGAATCCTTAGCCATTCTCGGTGGTGATTTGGTGTCCCTGATGCTGGCATAGCTATGATGAAGCCTCCTTCGTGAGGGACTCCGGGCTATCGTCTGAAAATTGGTGCTCATTGAAGTCTCTTCCTGCTCCTGAATGTCATCGGGATCCTCCTCAGTGGGCACCACAGCATATCTATGCTTCTTCTTGCCACTGTGGATCTCTATAATCTCATGATTGTCATCCACAATCTCCTCATCCTTGTCCGTTGGGAACACCGTGTAACGGGAATCATTGAGGAAGAAACTCTTCGAATCGAAATTCGTTGAGAAGGCGTTCTTCAGCTTTGGCTGCTCTTCTGGTGAGAAATTAACAGGCAAACTGCAGAATTGAAGCTCATCGGATCTGGAATGCATTTCGAAGATTAACTTCCAATCTTAAGCTCCCCCATGAACTCACTCACGTATCAAGAGCCTCTCGGCTTGAGAGTAGCTTCGCCTGGCGCGCCGGAACCACGGTGTAGCGATTCTTCTCTGTCTTGGAGAGTTCCTCGATGGGCACCAGAGCGAATCTTCCACTGCTGCTGCTCGTCTGGAGTCTCCCTCGCATGGGGCTCGAAGAAGTGACCACAGTTGGCGTTGGTCGTGTCGTATTGATCAATTCAATGGACCCAAACGACTTGGATGTGACCAGAGACAGTGGCTTGGGGCCCGGCTTCGGGGGTAAAAACGGCTGAAACACCGGAACACACTTCACAGATTCACTCTTCTGCACTTTCGCCGGCGGGGAATAGAGTTCACTTTGGAGACAGAAGGCGGGATTGGTGTAGTGAGGCATCTTTGGATACTCGCGATAAACTCTTGGACAATTTCAGTGCATCACTCGCGAAGTCTCAACTACATCTGCTGGCACTTTAAATTGCCGACGACCGTTGAAGAGCCATGGAATTGGGGAGGGTGACAGAGATAGAGCTAAAGAAATTCACGGTTGGTGCTCAAAGAACGGAGGAAGTTTGCTGCCAACTGCCACTTCCACACCACTACAGAGTCGCATGGATTTGCCAGAGGGTCGCGATAGGTGATATTTACTAAGGGGGAGAGGGACTGTGTGTAGCATTTAAATGTCCACAGGCAGAAATGAAAATTGGCGGGAAATCCCTGCATTTTCCCGGAAAATGCATCACAATGATCGCAAGAAATTCGCTGTTTTTCATGCTTTCGCATATTTTTGCCCTTAATCGTCATTGAATTGGTGGCACGCGAGACGTTCGCATTGAAACCACCGCGGCAGACGTTCGAACAGCTGCTCGAGTCAAAGGTGGTGTCATTTATTTATTTTCCTCTCCCTGTTCTTCTACGTTTCCCCCTTTCACGTCACTCTTGTGCAATTTGAAGCCGATGTACATAAAAACATACCAAAATAGACATACCATTTAGTAGTCATCTTCAACTCTCTTCCAAATCATGTCATGTTATTAGCTAGTGTTGATAAGTGTTGATTCTTCACTTACTCTCATTAAACATGACCTTTTTGTAGTGAAAAAGGATTCCAGTGTGAGTGTTTGTGCAATCATTGATGAAATGCCATTGCGTACAGCTAAGTAATTTATTTATTACCTATCAACTAAGTCATATTTCATCATATTAATCATCTTCTTTTAATTCAAATAACACGTAGAATCTCACGATGAAGACCTTCTCGAATGTTCCATCAAATAAAATATTTACTCAAATGCTGTAAATTTGTGTAAACTTATAGGAAAATTTATTAATAAACACGCGAATATGAACATATCATATGAAATTGATGTTTTCAGCACATCATCGTCCCTGTTTCCAATTGTGAATCATACCGATTACGCCAGGATTAAGATTTATACGTCCCAATAAAAGCTCCACAGTTTGGACAGTAGTGATTGGCGTTCTTGCAAGAGTCCATCACATAAGGAATCCACGCACAAGGCCAGCAACTGCAAAGAAATCATCAGATTTTACTACCAAGAACTTTTCTTTTCTCAGATAGAAATAACTTACACAAAAGCACAGAGAAGCGCTGCCATAATGTGTGTTTTCGTGCTGGTTTCATAATCCAGTTTCGTGATGACTTGCTGTCTGCACGAAGGGCAAACTATCATGCTAGGATCTGGGCCTACAGGTGGACTTGTCACAATGGCTGAAAGAATGGCCGAGAGTCAAAAGACTGTGTCATTCTGTGTAATTGAAGAGTCTTACTGTGAACTACTTGAGGAGCTCCTTGATTGGGTTGATTGGGATACGGCATGCTTGTGGCGTAAGGAGTTCCCTCAGCAGGATAAGGCGTTCCGTGCTGCGTTTGTTCATAAGACGGTGGTGGCTGTGGATGAGGATAGGCTCCTGTGTTCCCTTGTGGCTGAGGATATAGTGACTTCTGTTGCTCCATTCTGGAAAACGCAATTATTGTTTGATGTTTAAAAGCACTTCAGCAAAATTTGCAATATATTCCCCTCTTATCAGTTGAAAAAGGTTCGAGATAAGATAACACCGGCCAATTCAAGACACACCATGTCAACAATATGTTGAATGTGCAGTGTAAACACCAAGTATCCAATTTCGCAGATAAAAGCATGATTTAGTTTAGAAGTTTCATCGAGAAACTCTTGTGAAATTACATCACATTATTTACACATGACAGTCAACGAAGCGTGAAGAATATACACACTCATCGAATAGAATTTTTCCTCCATTTGAAGTATCACAAATATAATTTACCTGTTTAATTGAGAATTGACTATCTGAATATGTGGCACTTTTTGATATGTTTTTGCTCGCACTTGATGTGTAGCGTCCGAAATGTTTCACTCTCTGAGCGCAAATGAGAAACACTCGCAGCTAAGCGTGTGATTTTAATGTGAACGAGAAAGTCTCACAGATACACTCAACGTTGCAGAGTTGATAAAAGAAAAATTCCTCCCAAAGCTTCCTTTTGGAGTTCTATAATACGTTCTGAGAGAGGAAATCCCAAGTGAGTGATGAAAGTGACAATCAATATCGTATGGAAAAAATATGGTTTCTTATTGCTGTCATTATTCGTAATGTCCATTAGAGTCATCAAATTAACACGGTTTTGCTCTCTTTTTGACTCTGGAAACAACAGGTGAGAGTGTGTTGTCGCTTTTACTCGTGAACCGAATACTTTTCCAGCCACTGACTCACCCGCAATGTATTGTATTGTTGGCTCACAACACTCGGACGATCATAAAGCATTGACGTCACTGTAAAGACGTAATTGAGAGCGTGTTTTATGATCGCAAATAGGCCACTAATCGATTGAATTTCATCACTGGAGGTTCTTCAGCAAATCCGAAGGCTTTACCAATAAGAGATCTTGAGAATTTCACCGAGATAAGCCGGCAAAAATAAGAAATGATTCACTATAAACTTGATAAGATTTTCCCAGTAAAAAGAGGGTAAGCAGAGGTCAGTACTTTGTAAACTTCAGTGATTGCTTATACATAAGTTACATTATTTAATTAGAGGATGAATAATGACTACATTTTTTCTTCATATAAGTGAAGAAACATTCGCCAAGTGCTCTCATTCCAACACCCAAAACTTAACAGTTTCTTTGGCATTCGCACACGCAGACTTTCTGATGAATATACATATTTGATAAAAATTAAATCGTGAAGGTGATAACACAACTCATTATCTGCAAGTGACAAATTCTCTTTTGCCCATGAAAGTGTTTGTGATATAAAACTTTGCTCACTTGCCACTCCACAAGTCAGTCGATAGTCGTTCGTTTCGTTCGCCAAAAGTGTATTCGTGACTGTGACAAATAGGTTGAAAGAAAATGGAGCAAAAGTCCATGTATCCCCATCCGGATCCCAATCAGGCTGAAGGCAGTGCATATCCCCATCAGATGCAGTATCCACCGCCACAATATCCAATGCCACAGCCCGAGATGCAGTACGCGCCACCCCCAATAGTTACCCAGCCAACGACGACAAGTGAGTGAGGAAAAATCCCCGCCGATAAGGCTTATCTCCTGATGAGATAGTGCGGATCTCCACAACAGGAATTCGTCATTATCCCACTCAATCTGATTGACAGCCACCACCCCTTAAAAACTTGAGATTTGACCAAGAGCACGTCTTGATTGCCTTTTTATCGTCTCTCAGAAACAAGAATACCATTTTATGATCCTTTTTTACGTATTTATGATAAACAAAAAAAGAAAAACCCCATCTAATGTTGTACTTTAACGAATATTCAGTCTTTTATTTAATCATCGTATAGTTTTTTTAGTCAGTTAAGCAGAAGTATTGCATAACAGATACTGATATAGTTTTAGACCTTGATATCTATTTGAAATATTCTGTTTCTTAGATGATATGCACTAACAGTTCATTGCAACTTTACAGATTTCGTTTTTCAGTTCGTAAAAACTATGAATTTGGGTTGCAACTCTGCGCTTTTCATAGGTTTCTAAAGTAATAATGAAATACGAGATAACTTCAATCTAGTGCATTGAAATGTGCACAAATGACAAGATAAATCCAATACATTTGTACGAATCAACGTGGAAACGTCATTATTGTCAATTTTCTTGGATTTTCACGTGTATTTTTCGGCTTTTCTTGCCTTCCCGGATGATAAATTCTCCTTTTTCGTAAATGTTATGAATTGCAATCTTGTAACGCATTTTTACGAATTCATATTGTTGACAACTCATTTAAAATGTTATGAAAATAAAGTTGCAACGAACCGTAAGATTTATACTAAGTTCTTATTCCTCTCACTGTTTGCAGTCATAATGCCACCGCAGGTCGGCCCAGATCCCACAATGATCACCTGTCCTTCGTGCCACAGCACTGTGGTCACGAGGATGGAGTATGAGCCCAACACTAGGTGAGTGGCACCACAATCACCATCTCCAGCGTATTATCACTAATTGTTGCATCCCTTATTCTAGGACTCACATTTGTGCCCTTCTTCTCTGCGTTTTCTGGTAAGTTCAAAGCTCTCAACTTGGCATAAACAACTGTTGATCCCAATTGTTTTCCATTTCAGTTGCTGGCCATGCGTTTGCGTGCCTTACTGCGTAGACTCTTGCCAGAGTGGCAATCACTACTGCCCCAGCTGCGGAGCCTACGTTGGCACCTACGAGAACTAATGAGCCTTCGTGAGATGTTTTGCTGAGTCTTGGCGTTCTGCTTGGTAATTTCACTGACAAGAAAGCTGTATTATCATTTACTAATTTTCTGTAGCAACACAGAGAATGATTCATTTGTTTAATCTTGAGGATTTCCTGAGATATATTGCACAATATATTTACTTCTCTGTCTCCATGTAATATTTTAATATACCACAATAAAAGTGCGTCTAGTAAGTTAAGAGATGGTAAAACAGTGTTCACAAGATTTAAACCAAAGCCGATGCGAACGCACTCTAGCGAGAAATTTTGTCTGCCAAAACCACCACCAGCAATTTCTCGCTCAGTCCTGGTTCAGAAATACATTTCTACTTAATTGTTTTCATGGTTTGAAACGAAAAATGCTGGAAAAGTTTATGCTATTGATTGGAAACTGTTCATTTGTGTGTCCCACTAGACAGTTGACCTACTTTTGGCGCTTTTTTTCCCTCATCACGCTGACTTTTACGAGATGCGCAGAAGAAAGCTGCTCCACTGACACCGAAATCCTTCGACATCCTGGCGACAGAGTCCCTCTGGCCTGTCCCCATTTAAATGTAGCCCTGCGGAAGCATAGGAGAAAATCAATCCACATGCTCATCAATTATTCAACGAGGCTAATGCTGAATTGTGATCTGCAAGGTGAAGTCAAGTTATTAAATTATCCCACTAGAGCTCTGACCCAATTCGCTCTCTTCTCTTTGTTCCCGCGGAACCTCCGCAGCCCGAAAGAATTCCCCGAAAGAAATTAACGTCTCGAGTGTTTATTGTGCCTCTTGGGCTCTAAATTACGACGCAGAACAACTATGTTTGGGTGTGGGGTCCAGAATCTCTCTCACTCTCTCACTGGCAGCATATTTTTGCTTCGCATAAACATAAAAATATTCGACGCACATTTTCCCTATGTCGCAATATTCTTTGTTTCGAAATCGATCCCTCGCGAGATTCCCCCTGACCAAGTCGTGTGAGTGATGGAGTTCGCACCCTTCCGCCTTTGTTCGACCTCTTCTGCTGATGCCATTTGAGCTTCTCTGAATTATTAATTGCATTCTCTCGCACTGTGTGCGTGATAATTCACTGAAATCAATCAACTGCCTGAGATTCTTACCAGGAAGTCGAACAATGAGAACATGAAAGTTTAATTGGGGAGCAATAAATGAGAAGGAAATGTCTTTAAGGCAGTCAGAATGAAGAAACCTAATTGATAGGAAAAAAACAATAGAAAGTATTGGAATTACGAAAGATCATGTATTTGGAAAGAAACCAATGAAAACATCAACTATTCGGTTTATCTAAAGGATGTACAAGAAAGCAAGCGCAGCTCAAAGATGTTTTTTGTTATTGAAATTCAATTGCAGATTAAACAAGGATTATGCTGGTTTAAGTTTGTACTCAAGTTTGTTCCAAAACCAATAAAATACTTCAATCAAAACCTTAAAAAGCAATTGAAATATTCCCAAAGAAGGTGAAAATTAGGGACATTTTCTTCCTTCTAAGACTCTCTCTGTAAATTCAGACATTTCACCAATTAACCTCTTTCGGCACCATTTGTCTAACTAAATTGTCCATACGAGCATTATTTGGACAGAAGGTTGAATCACATATTATGTGCAATATCAACTAATGTCCTTGTTTTGTCGAAAAAGGACTTCTGACCTAGATTTTCCGTGTCAATTTCCTAAGCGAGAAACTGCGGAGCGTCACGAATTCGGGAGTGTTTTTCCCATATCGCCTGCGAAGGAGGAAAGTGGGTCAAATTGGATCTAGGACGCGAAATCGAGGACACCAAGTTTTGGGGGCTGACACAGAAGATTCTCCCAAAGCTCTGGAGCTTTGGTAGCTTCAAGGCGAAATGCCATTGGATGAGAAAATTAGGTCAATTGCGCCTCTTTTTATCCTATTTGCTGGGTTGGAGCAAAATCGATCCACTTCACGGTGGCAAAATTAATGTATGACCCCATTTTTCTTCACTCTCTGATCCTATCATATTCCATTATTGGACACCTTTTTCTCACCACTCCGAACCAATATAGGACTGGTGGTTGAGGGTACTTTTCCACTGTATATCTCCATATGAAAACCCGTTCGTCATCGTCATAAAATTTTCCCATTTCCTTCCCATGCGAGGAGAGCTTCTCGGAGGGTGAATAGGGCAAAAAGCTCGGCTATCGATAGTTTTCTAGTCAAGCATAAAAGATATTTTACGATGAATGACGGAAAAATCTTCAGCAATAAATGTGTGCTCAATTTTATTGCACATTCATTTTTCATACAATTTAAATTGTGTTTTGTGAATAATAAGAGTGTGATTTTGTAATTTGATATCGAATCCTATCGCAAACTAACCAATAAAAATTCAAGTAGCGCATTTTGTATGGGAATTTTTTTTCAGTGGCTCAATTAAAGCTCCAAAAAATTGAGGCAGAGACAAAGAAAATGCGCTGTTTCAAGCCTCTTTCCATGGCAATTTTTTAGTGAAATTTCACTATATTTCAGCAGTTGGACAATGAGAAGCTGAAATGTAGGTAGAATAATTTTTCCACCTCTCTTCACTGTTGGCACAATTTTTTAACGCTCTCTGCCTCGTTTTTTTTTCTTCAATAGGTACATACACAATAAACCACCGAAAAAAGAAGTGTTTGAAAAGCGTTAGAAAGGGAGTAAAAGAGAGAGAGAGAAGCAAAATCATCTAACCTAAATTTTCTCTTGGGCTTCTCAATGGCATGTACAAAATGGTAATTTTATATACAACATAGAGAAAAAAAGACGATATAATGTACATGGAGAGCATAAAAAACCCAAATGAAGAATTGAGAGAAACTCCATGTTGGTGCTGAGAAAACTTTTCAATTATGTACAGAGCGCCTCTCCGTGGAAAATCGATATCGAAAGTCCCCTCTCTCTCTCTCTCTCTCACTCGCGCTCTCTGACCTGACAAGCTTTTCAGCCATCGCAGTGCTTTTCCGAGAGACACTGACTTGAGAAAATGAGGAGGAAAAAGAATTCCCGCGAGAGAGTAGAATGGAAATGGAAAAAGGTGCGGCAAAATTCTACCCCGGAACTTTAGCCTGTTTATATACAACACCCTAGGAAAGCCCCATTGGTATCTCCTTGGGGGGGGGGGAGCTTTTGCGCTTGTTTCATCCGAAATTGCTATGTGAGCTCAGAAGGCTTCTCGACGAGGCCCAATTTCAAGGAGACTTTCGAAAGCCTCCAGTGGCCCTCGAAAGTGTCTTTGAAATTTGAAGCGTGAGAAGGTTTTAGAGAAGGGCCGAAAAAAACTTGAGATTTTGCCTTTCTCTCAACACAATGCAGAGATTTTTATTATGTATCAAACTCTGCACAAAATAGTCAATTAGGTTACACATTTCTGCAGATTGCATTATATAAATACTATGCTGAATATGTAACAACAATTCTCTATACAAAAAGCTTGAACTTGTGCTGACCATACAAAAATTACGTATGCAAGATGAAATTCTGACTGGGAAAGCTTCATTGGCCAAGTAATTTTGTGATTAATTCACATGGCAAGAACCTTTAATTAAAGTAATTCAACCTTAATTAGTTTCAATTGGCTCCTGCCGCATTTTGTCTCAATTTGGACTCCATTTGTGTGATTTTCATCCACATCAATTTCAAACTTTAATACCACAACGTCAATTGGCCTGATGCCTGCTGATTAGCTGAGCCTTTTTCGCCAGATTATAAATGATGCGCGGCATCTGCGAAATTTCTTTGGGGATTTGACTCTTAAAAGGCTAAAGCAAATCTCTTGACTAAATTTGAATCTATTTTCATGGAATTGTAAGAAAAAAAAACTCTTAGAGAAGTTTCTTTCTCCTGAAAATATTGCCTTGAAAAAGCTTCTTTTCTTCTCTGATGATGATTTGAGCTAAAGCAAAGGAATTCTAGTCAGAAAGCCAACTAAACAAGCTACTAACAGATAATCCTTGTTAGTCCAACAAACATTTAATTCCAAACACTGAATGGAAAAGTGCAAAATACGCACTCAGAGTTGATTTTTTCAACTTCTTGTCTTTCTGTTCTCCTTGCGAATTTATGCTATTTTTGTCTCCCAATATCGATACTCTTTTATGCTCCCTGGAGGATGGGAGGCCGAAGCATGATAATGTGGTGTGTGACCTACATTCGACACAGAATGCGTGCGCATCTAATCAATACATCACACACCAGTACGCAGCATTTGCCACAGATCAGTTCATCTCGCTTTCTCACGCGCAAGCTCATGCTGAACTCTACCGCCGTCTCACTCTCGTCCAGAAGTCTCGCGTGATTGAACAATTGCAGTGCAAGGGAGACGCGCAGAGGAATCTTGGAATGATGTTAAAAACGATTGGGAGAGAGATGGAAAATGCCCACCATGAGCTTTTCCAAGCTACAAAGCTCTTCCAACTATTCCGTGATGATTTCTCGACGAGTGAAGTGTAATTGTTTGAAATCTCCCAAAAAACAGCCCGAAAAGTATATTCAAATTTCACAGAGTTAAAGAAAATGAACTCTTTTCTGTCGTCCTGATGAAGTTTTATCCCGCCTAATCTGCGGTAAGTTCTAAATATAGTTTTAAACATATTCAAAGCAAATAAGCATAAAACTTCAAAAAAGCTCCCTTGAAGAGCCAGGGAAAACCGCACATTTGCCCTCAATAGCGAAGGAGAATCTCCAAAGAACTCTGAAGAGAAAAAAAAACATTGTTAGGGAACAAGGTCGGGAAAATTGCAATTGTGCAGCTTTAATTATTCACTATAGTGTGTCATTCATGAAAAATGCACATGGAATTTTAATGGAGTTGAAATGGAAATTAAATATTTTATAGCTGGGGTTTTTTATTGCCAATAATGGTGATTTTTTTTCGCTAGAAGCAAGCAGAAGCTTGTTGAGAGAGATGTTTGCGATAAGAAGGCAAATTTTCTTCCACTCATGAGGGATAATCATTTCAGAGAAAAATGTCTCTGAATTATCTTAATAAATCAATTGATGTTCTTACTGAGAGTTTCTGCAGACAATGAAGAATTATAATATTTACAGACAGCATTTAAGTGGCATTTAATACTTTTATAAATGCCCTCTGGGGCTCCTCTTAAATTTAAGCTGCAAATGCAATTAAACACATAACGAGTAAATCCCAATGCAAATAAAGCATTGTTCAGAGAGCATCGCTTGATATCGTGAAGCTGCACAATTTGCAATATTATAATTAATTCCTTGGC